GCCAGGCACAGTGGCTCATGCCTGTAATCCTAGTACTTTCGGAGGTTGAGGCAGGAGAATCACTTGAGGCCAGGAATTCAAGACCAGCAACATAATGAGATTCTGTCTCTATAAAAAATATATATATTTTTAAATTATCCAGGTATAATTTTAGGCCAGTAGTCCCAGCTATTCAGGAAGCTGAGGCAGGAGGATCACTTGAGCCTGTGAGGTCAAGGCTGCAGTAATCAGCCACTGCACTCCAACTTAGGAGACAGAGCAAGACCATGTCTCAAAAAAAATAAAATAAAATAAAATAAAATAAAAAATAAAAAACAGAAAGAAATAGCAACAACAATTAATAACTTCCCAGAACACAAAATATCAGGTGCATATTGCTTCACTAGTGACTTCTATTAAACATTTAAGGAGGAAATTATGCCAGTTCTTTATCATCTCTTACAGAAGACAGAAACAAAGGATATACTTCTAAACTCATTCTATGAGGCTAGTATTATCCTAATACCAAAACCATACAAAAGACATCACAAGAAAACTACAGGGCAGTACTTCTCATGAATATAGATGCCAAACGCCTTTAAAAATGCACAGATTGAGCCAGGATCACACCTGTAATCCCAGCACTTTGGAAGGCCAAAGTGGGTGGACTGCTTGAGCTCAGGAGTTAAGAGCCTAGCCTAGGCAAATATGGTGAAACCCTATCTCTACAAAAAAACATTCAAAAATTAGGCTAGACAGTCACTCACGCCTGTGAACCCAGCACTTTGCGAGGGCGAGGCAGGTGGATCATGAGGCCAGAAGTTCAAGACTACCCTGATCAACACGGTGAAACCCCGTCTCTACTAAAAATACAAAAAAATAGCCAGGCATGGTGGTGCACGCCTGTAATTCCAACTACTTAAGAGGCTGAGGCAGGAGAATCATTTGAACCCAGGAGGTAGAGGTTGCAGTGAGCTGAGATCACACCACTGCACTCCAGCCTGGGTGACAGAGCGGGACTCCATATCAAAAAAACAAAACAAAAATACAAAAATGAACTGGGCATGGTGGCTCATGGCTGTAGTTCCAGTTACTTGGGAGGCTGAAGTGGAAGGATTACCTGTGCCTGGGGCGGTTAAGGCTGCAGTAAACTATGACTGCACAACTGCACTTCAGCCTAGGTGACAGAGTGAGATCTTGTCTAAAAAAAAAAAAAAAAAAAAAAAAGCAAATTGAATTTAACAATGTATAAAAGAATTATACACAAAAACCAAATAGGATTTATCCCTGGTATGCAAGGCTGGTGCAAAATTCAAGTATCAATTAATGTAATCCATTGACACCAACAATCTAAAAAAGAAAAATCACAAGTTTGTAGCAATAAACACAGAAAAAGCGTTTGACAGATTCCAATGCCCATTCATGATAAATCTCTCAGAAAACTAGGAATAGAGGGTAAACTCAATTTGATAAACCATATCTACAAAGTATATCTGTAGATTTACAGATAACATCATATTTAATGGTGAAAAACTAGAAGTTTTCCTTCTAAGATCAGGAATAAGGCAAAGATGTCCCCTGTTTGCCTTATTCTCTTACACTCTCTCCCAACATCATACTAGAAGTACTAGCTAATGCAATAAAATAAGAAAAGGAAATAAAAGGCATACTGATTGGGGCTAGGCAGTGGCTTATGTCTGTAATCCCAGCACTTTGGAAGGCCCAGATAGGCAGATCGCTTGAGTCCAGGAGTTGAAGACTAGCTTGGGCAACATGGCAAAACCTCATCTCTACCAAAAATACAAAAGCTATCTGAGCACGGTAGCACATGTCCATAGTTCTGGGCACTGAGGTGGGAGAATTGCTTGAACTCAAGAGGCTGTGGCGAGAGAACTGCTTGAGCCTGGGGGCTGAGGTTGCAATCACGCCAATGCAGCCCGGCTTGGACAACAAAGTGAGACACTGTTAAAACAAACAAACAAACAAACAAACAAAAAGCATGCTGAATGGGAAAACAAAAATAAAACCATCTTTGTTTGAGATGTCTATGTAGAAAATCATGATTGCCCTTGTAAAATCTGAAAGAATCAACAATGAAACTCCTGGAACTAATGAGATTGTGGCAAGGTTGCAGGAGACAAAGTTAATGTATAAAACGCTACAGTAATCAAGACAGTGTCATGCTGGTGAAGGGCCAAACACACAGGTCAATGGAACAGACTAGAGAGCCTGGAAATAGAACTCATGTGTTGAGACACAGCACAAGAGATTGTGAAAGTTGAGGAAAAAAACAGCAAAAAATTTTTTGATTAAAAAAAGAACAGAGAAGTGAAGATAGGTAGGATATCATTATAAAACACTCATTTAAACTGGAAGAAAAAAGAATCTAACAGATGAGAATGGCAATTACCACCTATGAACAGTTTCAAAGCAAATAAACTGAAAAACAAAGGATGAAGATAGTACAGCTGCAAATGGAGAGGGGAAGGAGACCCACATAAATGTTTACACAGAGATGTAGCTCTGAACAATGCTCTTGAACCTGGGTGGCAGAGGATGCCATGAGCCAAGATCATGCCACTGCCCTACATCCTGGGCAATAGAGCAAGACTCCAACTTAAAAAAAAAAATTAAACATCAATTTAAAAATCAACTAATCCAGGCCGGGCGCGGTGGCTCAAGCCTGTAATCCCAGCACTTTGGGAGGCCGAGGCGGGTGGATCACGAGGTTGAGAGATCGAGACCATCCTCGTCAACATGGTGAAACCCTGTCTCTACTAAAAATACAAAAAATTAGCTGGGCATGGTGGCTCGTGCCTGTAATCCCAGCTACTCAGGAGGCTGAGGCAGGAGAATTGCCTGAACTCAGGAGGCGGAGGTTGCGGTGAGCCGAGATTGCGCCATTGCACTCCAGCCTGGGTAACAAGAGCGAAACTCCATCTCAAAAAATAATAATAATAATAATAATAATAAATAAAAATAAAAATTAACTAATCCTAGCAGGGTGAGGTGGCTCACGCCTGTAATTCCAGCACTTTGGGAGGCCAAGGCGGGTGGATCACGAGGTCAAGAGATCGAGACCATCCTGGCCAACATAGTGAAAACCCATCTCCACTAAAATACAAAAATTAGCTGGGCGTGGTGGTGCACGCCTGTAGTCCCAGCTACTCAGGAGGCTGAGGCAGGAGAATTGCTTGAACCCAGGAGGCAGAGGTTGCAGTGAGCCAAAATCACACCACTGCACTCCAGCCTGGCACCTGGCGACAGAATGAGACTCTGTCTCAAAAACAAAACAAAACAAAAAATCAAATAATCCTATAAAGGGTTAGCCTCTGGTTAAATACCTTTGCCTTACATGCACAGCCTTTTCATTGAGATCATTCAGTAAGAAATCACTATGCCAACATGATGGACGGCAAGAGCAGCTCAGCCTCATAAAAATGTTATCAGATTACAGATTAAGATTGGTACAGATTACAAAGTACCCTCAACAAAATGAAACATGAGGAATAAGTAAGCAGAATGCATAAGTTAAGAAACCAAGAGAAGAGAGTCAAGGACTGCCTAACTGAGATAGGGACCAGAAGATTAAAAATCAATTTATTTTTGAAAAGTAAAGGGTTCTTAAGAATGAGACGTCATGTAGTTATAAGCAGATAGGAAAAATATTTTCGTTAATAATGTGAAAAATAAAATACAAGAAAAGGAGAGAGCTAGCCTCCAAGGGTCTCTAATTCATTCATAAAAGGTACCAAACTGATCTTCAAGCTTTATCACATAGAATCTTGAGTAAACCACGGTCAAAATAAGCAGGAGAACCTCCTGAAGGGGCGGCAAAGGTGTATCCTGCCACACCTGGAAGCATCTCCTTGGGGCCAAGTAGGAGAAAGGTGAAGTGGTACTATCCACACCAAGCTGATGCTGACATACCCTTCATGGGCTTGGCTTAGAGTAAAACAGGTATCCTGGGATCTGTGTAACCCAGGAAGATGTAGCTCTCACTGTACCCGTTTGTGGCCTCTATACCACTAAGTTGAAAACAACAACTCAAGAGAAATGGGGAGAAAATAGAAAAGGTCAGAAAAAGAGAGTCATCCTTTTACCTATTCTTTCTTGTCCAATTATTTATTTTTCTAGTATTTACAATGATTGCCAATTCATCCACTGTTTTCCTGACTTACCATGTTGTAGAAAAGCTAAGTCTGAGCTAAAAATGACCATAAAACAGATCTATAATTTTACTGGCATCATTCTCCAATCAAATGAGCCAACTGGTAGAGAAACCTGGATAACTGGAATGCTTACGGCAAAGGAAAATGATCAACCATATTTAATTGTGTTTCAGATCAAACATTTAAATAACAGTAATATCAGAGAGTATGTCATTAAGCTAAGAATACAAAAGTGAACACAAACTAACAACGTATTCAGGGTTTTATACTACTTGGATTCATGTCAGAAAAAAATTATTCATTCTTGTAATTTAAAAAAAATGGGGCCTCAACAGTAAAATGGACTTCAAAAATGATGACAGGGCTGGAGTTATTTTCTAAAACTGAAGTTAATATGAATCAACACATAATCAACCGTATTATTTTTAAACCATCCTGCAATGTGGTTTGAAAGCAGCTTTCCTTGCTGTGATTAAAGCATTTTTAACATCAAGAGACCTGAATAGAGACAACTCAGAGGTATTTGTGATTGGTTGTTTAAAAAAGAAAGGCAAATAGGAGACTTGCGGCAATACTTTCTAAAGCAGTAAAAATTCTGCTAATTCACACTCTCATCCTCACTCCATGAAAAGGAACTCCCAAGGCCCAATTATTCTAGGTAGTTATACATTTCTACTACTACTAACTAGTTATAAAATTTCCAGGAGAAAAATGCTCAGCATATTTAGACCTGGCTGACACCAGTACATTTAATTAGTACTTAAAGAATGTAATTAAGGTTCAGAAAGATACAAATAAATTATGAATTATCATACAAATCATAAATTGTATATTCTACAAAGACCTTACCTTGCAGCTTTTTCAAAACAGCAACTTCCATTTTCAGAACTTGTTTTGGTTGTTGAGCTGATTCCACCTTCAGTGCAACATTTTCCCTGGTGAGCATGTCCAAGGCATCGTAAATTTCTCCAAAGCCCCCACCCCCAATCTTTCTCAACTGCACAGAAAATAAGAACACACACACTCAAAATTACTAGAAGATTCTAACTTGAATGCAATTCATCTCATATTTAGAAAATACTGTATAATTTTACAATGTTTTATGATAAAATAATTCAATATTGTCAAATTAACTATGTATATGCCAAGAAGAAAACATATGCCTGAAAATAACATCAAAACCTTTCCGTACAGGTTTATCCACAAAAAAAGTAATGAAATTATTTCACCCACAAACAATTTTAAAATTTGGTTGATAGCCGTCATCAGAAATGTCACCAAAAATACAATATTTGAAAGAATCACTTCAAATTAAAATAACAAATCTGGTTGTTGAGTGGCATTTGTAGAAATTTTAAATTTTATTTTAATTTTAAAGATTTTTTAAACTATGAAATCCTGGCTGAGTGCAGTGGCTCACGCCTATAATCCCAGCACTCTGGGAGGCCAAGGTAGGCGGCTCACTTGAGGTCAGGAGTTCGAGCCCAGCCTGGCCAACACTGTGAAACCCTGTCTCTACTAAAAAATACAAAAATTAGCCAGGCGTGGTGGCACATGCCTGTAATCACAGCTACTCAGGAGGCTGAGGCAGAAAAATCGCTTGAACCCAGGAGGCAGAGGCTGTAGTGAGCTGAGATCCAGCCACTGCATTCCACCCTGGGTGACAGAGTCCATCTCTAAACAAACAAGCAACAACGAAAACACCACAAAATCCTTTTGCCAACTGAAGTCTTATCTAGAACCAATGTGGTAGATGTATATGCGGGGTGGAGTGGGGAGGAAGCCACCACCCAGGTTTTTCACCACCACTTACCCTTCTCTCTGAGGCACCTAACAGGGTCCACAAAGCAGGCTGAGAACTCTAATACTAAGCTATCCCAGAGTTCACTAGTCATCTATTTATTCAAATATGGGTTAAAAAAATCAATTTAAGCAAGTTCATTAAGCACTATTCTCTCTGATAAAATATGTTAGCTTAACTGGGGAATATCAGGATGCTGGTCTGAGTATCATAAGCAAGTTCTGAAGAGTCAGTGGCAACTGCATCTGTAGGGCTCTGAAAGGTGGGTTGTGGGGGTAGACACTTCAACCTAGAGACACAATTTTTTTTCCATTTCCTGAAACTAGGTTGTCTCCTTCTCACAATATCAAACACCAGGATGTGATTTAATGTGGAAAGTCATCATAGGCACAGGGTCCTAAATCCTAAGCAGCTCAAGAAGCCCAGCTCCATGCTCTACCTCTTTCTTCACTTGATCATCAATGAATACTACGTCTAGGTTAATTTCTTTATCTTCTGAACTTCTATAGTAATTATTTTGTTTAATTATTCAATTAATCATTTTACCAGGCCATACCTCAGTTATCACTTGTATTATTACCTTGCATTTTTTAAACTAAAGACCTGTCCATGAAATACCTTGTTTCAAACCTGTCATGTTGCTTAACTTTCCATTGTCAATGTCCTATTCTGCTACAGAGAAACTAAGTTTCTTCAAAGAGATGGCCACTTGTTCTATTTCTTTGTGTCCCCCATAGCATTTGGCAAAGTGGTAACTATATAAATATAATCCTATATTTATTTTTGCACATGTGAGCCATAATCCTTCTTTATATTCTTTCTTTTTTTAAAAATTTTTTGAGTTGGTAGTCTCACACTGTTGACAGGACTGGAGTGCAGTGGCACAATCTTGGCTCACTGGAGCCTGCACCTCCAGGGTTCAAGTGATTCTCCTGCCTCAGCCTTCCCAGTAGCTGGGATTATAGGTGTGCACCACCACACCCAGCTAATTTTTGTATTTTTAGTAGAGATGGGGTTTCACCACGTTAGACAGGCTAGTCTCAAACTTCCGATCTCAGGTGATCCACCCGCCTTGGCCTTCCAAAGCACTGGGATTCCAGGCGTAAGCCACCGCACCTGGCCTATCTTTCTTTATTCATTTGGTGATGGGAAAGGAATACTACGGTGAAACTACAGGATGAGTTCAAGATTTTTAAAAAGCTCCAGAAGCGGGCTGGGCACGGTGGCTCATGCCTGTAATCCCAGCCCTTTGGGAGGCCAAGGCAGGCAGATCACAGGGTCAGTAGTTTGAGCCCAGCCTGACCAACATGGTGAAATCCCATCTCTACTAAAAGTACAAAAATTAGCCAAGAGTGGTGGCGCGTACCTGTAATCCCAGCTACTCAGGAGGCTGAGACAGGAGAATCACTTGAACCCGGGAAGTGGAGGTTGCAGCGAACTGAGATTTCGCCGTTGCTCTCCAGCCTGGGCAACAGAGTGAGACTCTGTCTCAAAAAAAAAAAGTTCCAGAAGCATTCAGTTAATTAAGTTGTTCCTTCGTGGGCCCTGATTGATACTTACGATTTTTCATATTTTGTCCATTACACAAAGCCTAGTGTAGCTTTAAAAACTCTCATACAGTACCAAAGAGATTCCTTTCTAACTACGAATTGGTAGAGGTAGCTTCATGTTTTACCTCACAAAAAAACCTTACCAAATGACAAAATAAAGAATCTAGGCTGAAGTAAATGTTTCTGTTCCTTAGTCTATTTCTAAAACGCCATTTAAACATTAATAGAGCATTTTTTAAATGGCCTGACAAAGCCCTAAGAAATTATCAAGGTTTATGAGGCAAAGAGACAGAGGCAGTTTAGTATGATGGGGGTATATAGATTAGAGGAAGACTAGAAGTAAGGCCTATGGCAGATTGTCTTTTCCAAAGATAGGCACAACAATATCATCCATCCTTGCTCTTCTTCAATGTGAAGAAAACCTTTCACATTGATGAAGACAACGTAACCTTGCTACTCCCCCAACAAGAGGTACAGTCCATTTTCCCCTTAATTGCTGGAATCAACAGAATAGGGCAAAGTGATACTGTGCCAGCTCTGAGAATAGTCTTTACCCAGCCTGGTGGATTCCATTTCCTGTATCTTAAAAGCTAGCCACCATGTAAGAAATGAGACCATCTGGCAGGGCACAATGGCTTACAGCTGTAATCCTAGCACTTTGGGAGACCGAAGTGGGTGGATCACCTGAGGTCAGGAATTTGAGACCAGTCTGGCCAACACGGCGAAACCCCGTCTTCTACTAAAAATACAAAAATTAGCCGGCATGATGGTGCATGCCTATAATCCCAGCTACTTGGAAGGCTGAGGCACGAAGGTCACTTGAACCTGGGAGGCGGAGGCTGCATTGAGCTGAGATCGTGCCACTGCACTCCAGCCTGGGCGGCAGAGTGAGACATCATCTCAAAAAAAAAAGAAAGAAAGAATGGGACCATCCTGAGAAGCCACAGCCACATGGAGATGCCCTAGAAAATGAGCTACCAGGTCAGGGGTTGGGGCTTGGGGGTGAACAGCTAAGGAACTCCAAGGTACCAGACAAGTGAGTGAAGAAACCATTTATAAATGGATCCTCTAACTGAAACAATCCTGTTAGTCCCACGTGGCTATGAGACAAATCATCCAGGCAAACTCTTCCCAAATTTCTAATGCACAAAAGTGTGAGCAAAATAAAATGATTCTTTTAAACCTCTAAATTTTGATGTAGTTTGTTACATAACAATGAAAAACTAAAACACTATCCGTTAACAATGAGCTTATAATTTTTTTTAACTAAAAATGCTACTGTGACCTCCCAAATTTTGGAGATAAGTTCCACAGCAATATTAGTTCTAACTACCAGGACAAGGGAACCATGCCAATTAAGAATTTCACTTGTCACCTTTTGATATGTCCACTGGAGAACAAAACACTCTAAAAAAGTGCTTAGTATAGTGCTCGCACCAAAGCAACACTTACGTCTGACTTACATAAAAGATTAGCAGCTGCTGGATTCTCCCTGCACCAGTCCATGATGATGACATAGTTTTCTTATATTTGGTCAAGTAAACTTTCAAAGCCTAGTGACTTACCTAATCAGTAAAACACATTGTACTATACAAATAAAAAATAAAAATTCTATTTCTAAAGGGTTTTCTTTTTCCAATCTGTTCACAGACTAAGGGAACCCCTAAAATAGCTTTGTGAAACCTACTAATGGAAAAAAAATGTGTACTGCATAGCAATCAAAAAATATTTAAATATATCTAAAACAAAAATAGTTCCTTTAAGAAACAAGTAGGATTAGAGAGATTACAGATTCTAGGTCTAGGGAAAGAAAGCCATTGAAAGAGTATTAGGATCCTGTGAAAAGAACTCAGAAGACAACATGAAGTGTATCCCCTTAGTCAAATAAGACAATTTAAACATTTATAAGGATAACTACCATAGACTGAAACACACCATATTTGTTTAAATCCATGAATTCTTAATTATACTGTAAAACAAATCTAATTGATCACTTTTGGAGAATGGCAGGAAACCAATTCATTGTTTTGAAAACTGGTAAATTAAGAAAAAGGAGCAAGTACCTATCTTGTTTTCCTAATCGAATTGTACCTCAAGATAAGCAAATAAGTGACGATAAAAAAAAAACTTGTCCTTGCCGGGCGCGGTGGCTCAAGCCTGTAATCCCAGCACTTTGGGAGGCCAAGGCGGGTGGATCACGAGGTCGAGAGATCGAGACCATCCTGGTCAACATGGTGAAACCCCGTCTCTACTAAAAGTGCAAAAAATTAGCTGGGCATGGTGGCGCGTGCCTGTAATCCCAGCTACTAAGGAGGCTGAGGCAGGAGAATTGCCTGACCCCAGGAGGCGGAGGTTGCGGTGAGCCGAGATCGCGCCATTGCACTCCAGCCTGGGTAACAAGGGCGAAACTCTGTCTCAAAAAAAAAAAGAAAAAAACAAACAAACAAACAAAAAAAACTTGTCCTTATAGATACATTTCAACTATATTCATGAATTACAGAACATCACCAACTTCCAATCCCTAATTAATAAACCTAGGCGATGATCATCAATAATGTTAACACCACAAAGTAGACAGACAGATGGACAATAAGGTATTATATGCCTCCTAGTGAAGGCTCACAATATCATTTGTGAAAAAAAGATGTCCCCATCTCAAAAACAAACCTAAAATCAGATATAATCAAGTCTCTAGATATAATTACCAATTTACATGAAATACACAAGACAGAGAAACGTGTTAACACCAAATGGAAACAAACAGCAAAATCCAAACCATAGGAAATTCTACAAATTGCCTAATTTCTTCAGTAAATAAATTGTAAGGAAAAAAAAAAAGCAATAAAGAGTAAAGAACCTAGAAATGAAAAGAAACTTAAGTGATGGCAACTAATTACAATATCCAGATTTTATCTGGATCTTGATTCAGGCTGTTCAAAATACTTTACAATCAGGAGAACATGAAAACTAAAACTATATTTGGTGATATTAAGAAATGATTACCTTTTTTTTTAGTAATACAACAGTATTTTACAACAGTAGAAAGTAGCTAAAAATACTACATGACAAAATGATATACAACCTTGGGGAGGAGTCAGCAGGGAAAAACTTATTACTTTTAAGGTATGATAATGGTATTATGATTATGCTTTTAAAAGTAAGTGCGTATTTTTTAGAGATACATACTGAGGTATACACAGTAGAAATGCTAAGGTTAAAGATCTATTCAAAATATTCTGGGAGAGAGATGAAATAAGATTAACCACACACTGATGACTAAGTTGGGTCATAGGTACACAGAGGTTCATTATATAAGTCTCTATTTTTTATGTATACTTACAATTTTCCTTAATTAAAAAAAAAAAAAAACAGCAGTTCATTGTATTTTCAAACACTGTATTTTTTAAATCTGTTCTTCCCCTAAGTATGCTTTTATGTATCTTAATATTACCTATTGGAAGTTAAAAACATTTAGTACATATGAAGCAAGAGTAAGACTTAGGATATAATCAATTTAATAATAGAAAAATAACTGTAAATAAGTGCTTTAGGCATATAAGTAATATATATAATGTTTCCTAATAAAATACTATATTGGGAAACCAAAAATTACTCCCCCAGTATGTATACACACACACACACACACACACACACACACACACTGAGATACACACTCACCACTTTCCATCTTTCTTTCACTAGGATTCCAACACTCAGGATATCTGGCTGCTCTCCTCCCCCGCTCATTGCAATACACTGATGTGGTAGAACAGCTACACAGACATCCAGTTCCCCAAAGTGGTTTCCATTTAACCTAAAACAAAAAAATAGTAGCAGTATATTAGGGTTAACTAATCAACACAAATAACATTCCAACATGAGGAAGCACTACTAATATTACACACTAATTAGGCTACTTTGTTGGGAACAAGGGGAAAAAGACCCAGAAATGTTTAATGCATATTTTTAAAACCATGTATCTTTCCATTACACATGCCAAGTGAACTAGCTAGGTATTAAAAAGACACTGTTAAAACACAGATATTACTTATAATAACTGAGATTGTTAGACTATAGGACAAGCATGATGGCAATGGCACTTGAACTAGACAGACCAGTATCCTGAGTACAATATACTGCTGAAGAAAAGGACATAGTACCTAATTTACAACAGTTTATAGTTTATAACTTAGAGCTTAACATCATTAGAGCTAATAATACTTTAATGTTATAAAATGCACTTAAAATCCATAGGAAATAAATATTAACAAAGGGATGCTGACCAAACCTAATTCAATGGCATTGCAAGATAAAGAGGATACTAGTAAGATGAACAGCTTACCTGTAGAAAATGAAAATATAGCAGAAAAATATGGCCTAAAGGAGATGAAAACTGTAACCTGTCCAGGAATGAGAAAGATATCAATACAGAGTGATTTTCAAGATCTATTGTTTAGTTAGTGAAAAAAGGCGAGACAGGGTTTATAGTATACTATACTTTTTATGGAAAGGAGATAAAAGTTGAGTATATTTAAGTATCTGCTTTTGTTTTTAAAAAGAAAAAAAGGATAAGCTAAAACTTAATAAAAATGATTCTTTATAGCAGGATTCAGCAAATTTTTCAATACAGGTCTGGAGAGTAAATAGTTTCTAGTCCACATACTATATACTCTGTCATAGCTACTCTATTCTGCCACTGCAGCACAAAAGCCATACATAATTATATAATTGAATGAGTATGGCTGTGCTCCAACAAAATCTTACTTACAAAAAAAAAAAAAAAAGTGGGCCAAATTTGGCCTCCAGACTGCTTACCAACCTTTACTCAACAAAAAGCAAAAAAAGGCCAGGCATGGTAGCTCACACCTATAATCCCAGCATCTTAGGAGGCTGAGGTGAGAGGGCTGCTTGAGCAAAGGAGTTTGAGACCAGCCTCGTCAACACAGGGAGATTTTGTCTCTACAAAAAATTTAAAAATTAGCCAGATGTGGCCGCACATATTTGTAGTCCCAGCTACTACAGAGTCTGAGCAGGGAGGATCGCTTGAGCATGGAAGGTTGAGGTTGCAGTGAGCCGTGAAGGTGCCACTGCACTCCAGCTTGGGGGACAGAACAAGATCCTGTCTCAAAGAAAAAAAGGATGGAAGGGATAAGGAAGAAAGCCAGACTTCTGTGAATGCATCTTGTGATATGGTTTTGATTCTGGATCCACGTAAATGTTTTACATATGATAAAAAATGTTCTAAACTCCAAATTCCAGAAAGGACTGTAACAAGTAATCGTCAGAGGTGGTGTTATTTACCATCAAAGGTAGCTTCAAATGAGTGATATCACTTCAGAAAGTCAACCAGTCAATAACAGCCACAATTCATAACCACATTTACATAATAAAAGGTCAGTCAATTCCTAACTACTACTTCACCAATCCCTGAACTCCATAATTCCTCAAATCCTATTTAAGACCACCAGTTCCTTTTCCTTTTTCTTTTGAAACAAAATCTTATTCTGTCACCCAGGTTGGAGTGCAGTGGTGCAATCACAGCTCACTATATCCTTGAACTCCTGGGCTCAAGCAATCTTCCCATCTCAGCCTCCCAAAGAGCTGGTACTACAGGCATGCACTACCACACCTGGATAACTCTGTTTTCAATAGACGGGGTCTCACTATGTTGCCCAGGCTGGTCTCAGACTCCTGGCCTCAAGTGATCCTCCCACCTCAGCATCCCAAAGTAATGGGATGATAAGCATGAACCACTGTACCTGGTCCAGTACTTTGTTTCCATTCAGAGAAATTACATCCTACAATTACAGCTGTCCTTTGTATGTTATACAATAAATTGAGCATTTTGTTCAGAAAATGAATGATGGCATGCTCAAGACAAAAGACAAATTAAAGTTTTCAAAAAACACTAAAAATGAAGAAAAGACAATCTAAAAATTCAGAGCAAACTGAAACCAATAACCCACTGCAATCTGTTCCCCAAAAACCTTTTAAAATAAAAAAAAAAAAACTTTAAAAAATAACCTATTGCATACTGAGTTTGTGCCATAGTCACACAGAAAATAATTACTTCAGCTGGGCATGGTGGCTCACACCTGTAATCCCAGCACTTTGGGAGGCTGAGACAGGAGGATCTCTTGAGATCAGAAGTTCGAGACCAGCCTAGGCAAAATGGCAAGACGCTGTTTCTACTAAAAACATAAAAATTAGGCCAAGTGCAGTGGCTCACACCTGTAAGCCCAACACTTTGGGAGGCCAAGGTGAGAGGATCACCTGAGGTAAGGAGTTCAAGACCAGCCTGGCCAACATGGCAAAACCCTGTCTCTACCAAAAATATAAAAATTAGCCAAGTGTGGTGGTGCAAGCCTGTAATCCCAGCTACTCAAGAGGCTGAGGCATGAGAACAGCTTGAACCTGGGAGGCAGAGGTTGCAGTGAGTTGAGATAGCAGCACTGCACTCCAGCCTGGGTGACAGAGTGAGACATTGTCTCAAAAAAAAAAAAAAAAAGGAAAGAAACAAAATAATTACTTCAAGTGACTTTAAGATATAGTATTTTGATTGTCCATCATTAGTTAGTTCTTAAGGAACAAAAGAACCACAAGGAAATCTTAAAACTGCATTCAGTAGGCTTACTGTTGGAAGTAACATCAATACTGATATTTCAAAACTATTATAGGTATACTGCAGTACACAGCAAATACGTAATTATATTAAGTCATTAGTAATCAAAATGTCAACATAAAGATATACAAATATGAAAGAAGTCAGGTAAAAATCATGACATCTTACAATTAAGAAAACATCATATTTATTTAAATACATATTTCATAACTCTGACCACCACTGAAAAGTCCTAGAAGCAGTGCAAACCAGCAGGATTAAGCACCCCTAGTTTCAAGGTTGAGGATTCAAAATGCCATTTACCTCTGAAAAAGAACCATTTGGAGAAACTGCTAAGACTGAGAGAGGTACTGTGAACAACGAGCCTAGAATCTTGCAGTTGCTCAAAAGCAGGACTATACCAAAGACTAGGGGCAGATACAGGTTTTGTGGGACCTGAAGATTTTATTAAGTACCCACTTATTCATTCTCTTAAAAATCTTACTCTTGGAAATTTTACAAAATCATATGACCAACTGCCCATGCAAATAGAGAACCTTAAGTTTAAGCTTCATTATCTTCACAGGAGGTGAATCCACCTCTGTAAGTCGAAAGGACACAGAAGTCAACTGGAAGGGGCTAACACTGGCTTAAGGTGGGAAAATCAGAGCACTAAAAAGAATGACTGATCACCACATGTGGTGGCTCACTCCTGTAATCCCAGTGCTTTGGGAGGGTCAAGGTGGGTGGATCACCTGAGGACAGGAGTTCAAGACGAGCCTGGCCAACATGGCAAAATTCCGTCTCTACCAAAAACACAAAAATTAGTCAGGCATGGTGACGCGTGCTTGTAGTCCCAGCTACTCGGGAGGCTGAGGCAGGGGAATTGCTTAACCCAGGAGGCCGAGTTTGCAGCAGTGAGTTGAGATTATTCCACTGTACTCCAGCCTGGGCGATACAGTGAGACTTCATCTCAAAAATAAATAAATAAAGACTGAAATGAATTGAAACAAATCAAATATATAAAAATCCATAAATTACCCAAAGAAGCCTCATTAGACAGTATAAAAGATTGCTAGGGCACCAGTTCTTTACTCTGAATGTAAGTAAAAGGAAAATAAGGACAGGCGCAGTGGCTCACGCCTGTAATCCCAACATTTTGGGAGGCTGAGGCAGGCAGATCACCTGAGGTCGGGAGTTTGAGATCAGCCTGACCAACATGGACAAACCATGTCTCTACTGAAAATACAAAATCAGCCGAGCAAGGTGGCTCATGCCTGTCATCCCAGCTACTTGGGAGGCTGAGGCAGGAGAATCACTTGAACCTGGGAGGCGGAGGTTGCAGTGAGCTGAGATTGTGCCATTGTACTCCAGCCTGGAGAACAAGAGCAAAACTTGGTCTGCAAAAAAAAAAAAAGGAAACTAATTCAAGTATTTATCCTACCTTTCCTATAGTAACTACATTTCTTCCTTTCTTTCTTTCTTTTTTCTGAGACAGAGTTTCACTCTGGCTGTCCAGGCTGGATTGCAATGGTGCGATCTCGGCTTACCACAAACTCTGCCTCCTGGGTACAAATGATTCTCCTGCCTCAGCCTCCTGAGTAGCTAGAATACAGGCATGTGCCACCACATCTGGCAAATTTTTTATTTTTAATAGACATGGGGTTTCTCCATGTTGGTCAGGCTGGTCTCAAACCACCAACCTCAGGTGATCTGCCTGCCTCAGCCTCCCAAAGTCCTGGGATTACAGGCATGAGCCACCACACCAACCTATTAACTGTATTTCAAGGAAACCAAATAGTTTAATTAAATTAAAAATTCACCATCTTGCTGCATCTAATGAAATAATCAAGGCAATGAATATCAACGGCTGCTAAAACTCTTAGATGAAAGGGTGATTGATAAAGAACTTAAAATGAATAGATGGGACTGATACCACCTAGACTCACTGATCAATCATAACATCACTAAAAGATCTGACAATGAACTCTGGGTACTGAACTAAGGTTTAGGCCTAAAATCCAGGTCTGACTGGCCAGTTAGTGATATACACCTGGGACAGATGTCAATATTGCAAAGACTTTGACAAATGAACTAATATAAAAACCAAAAAACATGAAAGGCTAGCCAGAACCTCCAACCTAAACACAACTGCATGGTTAAAACAAGGTATTAGTGGGGTGCAGTGGCTCACACCTGTAATCCTAGCACTT